TGTATTAACCATGAGTGTTCCCCAAGTCTCTGTCCTGGGCCCTCTTTTCTTCTCACTCTATTCTGTTTCACTTGATGATCTCATCAGTTCTCATGGATTCAATGATCATCTCTATGTAGACGATTACCATATGTGTAAACCTAGCCCTGCTCTCCTGAGTCACAGTAACACATCGCCTTTTGGACATCTTGAACTGGTTGTTTCCATAGACATTTCAAAGTCAAAACATCCAGAACAGAACTCATTATCTTTCCCTCAAATCTTCCTTTCTTCCAAACTTATCTATTATTGTCAAGGGTGATACCATCTTCCCGGTCACTCAGGCTCACAACGTCGACGCCATTACTTGCCCTGTATCTACAATCTGTGGCCAAGTTATATCTTTTTTACCTTTACAACATCTCTGACATACATTCCCTTCTCTCCACTCACAAAATCACCACCCTAATTTATGCCCTCATCACCTCTTGCCTGGACTATTACAATGACCTTCTAATTGGTCTCTGCTTCATCTCACCTTGCTCCAATCTATCCTCCATTCACCTGCCAAAATGATCTTCCTAAAGTGCGTATCAAACCCTTCTACCATCCAATAAACTGTAGTAGCTCCCTTCTTTTCCCTTCCCTTCAGGATAAAATATAAATTCCTCTAGCATTTATAGCCCTACATAAAAATGGTCCCCTTCTATTTTTCCAATCTTCTTATACTTTGCTCCCCTTATATACTCTGTGATCCAAATCTGGCCTATTTGCTATTCTTTGAACACTTTACTCCATATCCCATCTCTGTGGCTTTGTACCAGTTGTCTCCCAGACTTGGAATGATCTCTCTCATTTCTCCCTCTTAGCTTTCCTGGCTTCCTTCACATCTCAGCTCAATTCTTACCTTTATTTATTGGTCCCCTCCCCATATCCCCCCAACTCAGAATCTTCTCTATATATCATGTATGTAGGTATTTACACTCAGACTCATCTATTTAGAATATGTGCTCTTGAAGGCAGGGACCATTTTATTGTTGCCTTTCTTTGTTTCCCCAGAGCTTTTCATAATTCCTGGCACATAGTAAGCACTTAATAAATGATTTTTTTAACTGATTATTTCTAGCCCACACCAGATAAACAGCACACAATACATTCTGGACATAATTTGCTTTTCTGTTTCTCATTTCATCAGCTTCCATGTCTTATGCATTTCCTACCCATGAGCCCTCTCCTTCAAGGTCAAGGTCATTGGCACTCTGGGTAGTTTGCCCTCAAGTCAAGTCCAAGATCCTCCTGGGAGCTTGAGAAAGCTAGAGAGATCAGTGGATAACTCCAAACCCATCCTTGCTTGTTTCATGTCCAAGCTTTTTGGTGGAGTTCTAAAAGGTGGACAATATCTGTCTTCTTCAATTCTTAGTATCACAAAATCTCAGGGCTGGACCTTAGAGACCACGTAGTCCAACATGCCCATACAGGAATCTGTTCTACAATGTCCCCAATGATAGCTGTCCAGTCTTTTCTTGTAATGGGAAATCCATTATCCCAGAAGTAGCCATTCTACTTTAGTATAATTTTCATTGTTAGGAGGCAACACTTATTAATCCTATCCTAGTGGTGGTTTTGAGAATAGAAGCTTCCTCCCACATTTGGTGAAATATAATTCAGGCTCCCTCCAGGATAGTAAAGGAGTATGGTGGACAAGAGTGAGAATAGAAGAGTAACAAAAAATAACGTTAAATTAGAATAGTGATAGTGGCTTGTATTAGGAAGAAGTAGTGTAGAGTCAATTGGGGTAGAAAAAATAGGATAGAATTCATTGAAATAGAGACAGGTAGTGTAAACTGGAAGTGAGATTGGTGGAAGGGATTACAGCTCACTCTGCAGAACTCTGTGGGTGGAGCCTTGGGCCCTGAAGGGAAGCCAGGCCAGGAATGAGTCTTTCTTGTTTCTATTCCAACCCACACTTCTAGGTTCTGACCTCAATACTCAGGAATGCTTCTTGGAAACAATGCAATGTCTCTGGAATAGAGTGAGGAGGTTGGTGAAGAATAACCCACTGGGCTATGCAACCTCACCCACAACTAGAGAGGAAATGGGTGCAGATATCCTGCTCTCCTATGGTATCTGAAGGACTCCCTCCCCATCCTTCCCTTACTGTCCCCTGTCTCTTTCCTCTTAGTTCCAAATAGACTACCCACCACCCCCATTGTACAACCATCTAAGGTTTCCCTCCTTAAAGGCTCCTCCTCCTCAAGTCCATAGTGGAGAAGCCAGAGAGACATCCATCCTCAAATCCTAGGAGTGGGGGAGGGACTGGTAGAAGTTGGGGGGTAGGGAAGAGACAGATCAATGGGGAAGCAGACAGGATCTAACATTATGTGGAGAGAGCATCATTAATAACAACTGCTGAGCTAAATAGTGCTTTACAACTGTGCAAAATGCTTTTTTAATAGATGGTCTCACTTCGTCCTCAAAACCACCCAGTGAGGTAGGTGGTAACAGGTATTTTTATCCCCATTTTACGGATGTGCCTCAGACAGGTTAAATGAATTACCCAAAGTCTCCCAATTTTTTTTTTTCTCTTTCTGGGGGAAGGATGGGTGGGAGAGTCAGCTGTGAGTCCAGTGCTTGAGTTAGCTTGGACATGAGAACCTCCCTGTTTATTTTCTCCTTAGGTGGGGATGGGGGGGGGATGGAGGTGGGCAATGAAGCAACAGAAACTTGGACTTGTACCCCTCCTTCCCCCCATACATTCAACTCCTTTGTTTGGGCTTTTAGGCATTAAGAGAGACCTAGGCAGAGAGAGGCATAGAATGACAGGCAAAGATAGAGATTATTAAGAGGCAGAGAGAGAAGAATGTGAGAGAATACCTGAGACAAAGAGAGAGTGTGTGTGGGTAGAGAAAGACACACAGAGAAAGAATGAGACAGACAGAGAAAGGCCAGTTAGTCCCCTGGGGACAAAAGCAGGTTGTATTACTATGAGTTTTGATTGAAACCGGACTTAACAACAAAACAATGTAAATGAGACAATGAGAAGGGGTGGGGTGAAAGGATGGGGAAAGGGCCTCTTCTCTGCTGTCTGTGGTTGGGCCTACCATGGTTGAAAAGGAGCATACTAACTCCCAGAAGTCACCCTCCCACTGCCCACTGACACTGCAGGACATGTCCAATAAGCTGAACTGTGGCGGGGACTCATTTTGTAGGGAGAGAATGGAACTGAGAGCCCAGGAGAAGAACCGGGGCATCTCCTCCCTTGTTCCCCTGCCCCTGACTGCTAGTTCTTTTCTAGGTTGTATCTGGTTCTCTCAAGGACCCAAGAACTTTCTCAATGTATTGATCAGTTGTGCTGACTTTTTTTTTTTCCTTTCTCTCTTTAAAAACAATAAAAACAACAACAACAAAATAAAACCCACTATTTGTAATATGGGATGGCTCTGGGGGAGGGGAAGGGAGAGAGATACATGGGATATACTACGGTGATGCAAGAACAGAAAACATCACTGTCAAGGACCTAGAAGTCTGGTTACCTCTCCCTCACCAGACCCAGGTTTCTGGCTCACTCATCAGGGCAGGGAACAGGCTAAATGGCTACTCCCTGCGTTAGTTCGGGGCCACCACCTCCCCTAATTAACCTTATTAGTAGCCTCTTGCTCACTCATGGTCAGGGCCACCCTTGGTGGGGAGTAAGAGAAGAGTAACTGAAGCCTGTTTTCATGGGGGTCACCAGCTTGGCTTCCTCCCAGTGGCCAGGACCTGTGTTTATCCCCTCAAGGCAAACCCTGCGCCCCTTCTCACTCACTTCCTTTCAGGGACCCACGCCTCTCCCTCACACGCCTTCATTTTCTATGTCTCGCTTGTCCCCAAGAACTAAACAGTATCCTAGTTTTCCAACTACCTTCACAACATGGCAGACCCTCTAAATCCCCTCTTACTGCTCTCTCCAAGTTCTTCCTCCCATGAGGAGTCTAAACATCTGTCACTACCCCTCCCCTTTTATTTCCTAATTCCACACTCCCCTCAGGAACTTTGACATCATCCATGCACAGTTATGAAGAAAATATTTTATATGCCATGAAATAAGCAATATATAAATGTAAGATAATCACTACTCCCCTTAGGGACCCAAGCACCTGACCCCCAGTCATTTCTCTTGGAGGTTGGGGGAGCAGTTAGGTGGCTCAATAGAGTGCCAGACCTGGAGTCAGGAAGACCAGGTTCAAATTTGGCTTCTGCCGTTTACTAGCTGTGTGATCCTGGGCAAGTCATTTAACCTTTGTTTGTCTCAATTTCCTCATCTGTAAAATGGGGATAATCATAGCACCTACCTCTCAAATGAGATAAATATCTATAAAATGCTTAGCACAGTGCCTGGCATAAAGTAAGCACAATACAAATGGTAACGATTATTATTCTTTTTCACCCTCCCTTTCCTCACCACAGGCACCCAGGTTATCTGGCTCCCTAGCTCTGGTTCCTGGAGTCTTCCAGAAAGGAGAATAGCTGGGTCCTCATTTTTTCAGATGCCTGATTCTCAAGAGGTAAAGGAGAACTGGCAATCGTGTTATGTGTGTTAAGGGGTGAAGAAGTCAAATACCTGGGTTCTGGAGGGAGAGTTAGGGGTTTGGGGTGGAAAGCTGATGAGCATGAGTGAAAGCTTGGAGTTAAGATACCTCAATCACATGGTGAGAGTGGAGGTCCAGGAGTGTGCTCACAATGTCACCAATCAGGTCAGGGTGTTCAGTTCCAGGTTAGGCAATTAAGGTACCAGGAGCAGCCAAGTCAGGTGAGGGAATTTGTTTGGGCCCCAGTGTCCATACCCTGTGTTACCTGATTCCCTTACACCTCTGCTGAACTAGCAGATGCGGCAGCCGATTAGTCCACAACTCTTGGCCACACCAACCCACCCCAGGGCAACTTCCCGCCCCCTGCCCTTCCTCTCTTCCCCTCCCCTCTCTGCTGGGTGACTCCTGCCTGGGGAATGTACAGCCCTACCATAAAGGACCCAGTGCCCAGAGCTGCCATCAGTCAGAAAGCAAGATGGGCATGACTAGGGCAGCCCAGATGGGCCAAGGGAAGGGTCGCCCACTCACCCTGATGGTGCTGCTGGTGGTTGCCCTCCTCCTGCCAGGTAGGAGACAAGGGAGCCTGAATGTTTGGGTCCTCTCTGGGAGCAGGAAGTATTGCTGAACGGGAATGAAGAGAGTACCCTTGGGTACTTCAAGTTTGAGAATCAGAAAGAGACTGAGATTAAGAACTCCTGGGTCTTTGGGGAGAGAGGCTGAGTCCTTGGGAGGGTGTGGGATGTAGCATGGGAAGAGAAGGTAACTAGTGATAGAAAGGAGGTGAAGAGATAGGAAAATGAGAATTAGGATTATATTGTCTGGAGGCATTGTGTGTGGGGAGAAATTAGGGGCATTCAATTTCAGGAGATACTACCTTGGGGGGAATTGTCCGCCCTTGCAGGTTTAAGAGTTTGGGAGTGGGCAGGATGGGCCTTAGGAGGTGAGGAAGGGAGTGGGTTTCCTAGGGGAGGGTTAAGTGGTTCTGTAGAACGGGGGTAGATATCAATGAAAGAAAGGAGGATGGATATATTACCAAACAGGACTATCAGAAACTTATATGAGATTGAGAACTTGGAGGAGAAGTCGAAGGGTCCTTGCAAAGTGTGAGAGAAACAAAAACAAAAATCCTGGGACGTCAAGGGGTGGTGGAGATCTGGAGGGAGGGAGGAAAGCAGTGAATGGAAATGTTGTTACTGTTCCCTATAATAATCTACTTTAGATTCTATAAAGCATTTTCCTATGCATTGTTGTTAGCATTATTTTAATTTGTTCTTAATGACTCTGGGTTACTAAGCAGGCATGACTTATGAGATGAAGAAATAGATACTAAGAGGTGACTTGTTTAAGGTCACAGGGCTAGTAAATGAGAGCTGTGATTAGAACCTAGTCCTCTCCTGGTCGTGTGCTTTCTGGTACATCATAAGTGGGACTTGGAGGTTGGAGAGGGGAAAAATCCCAGTGGTTCAGGGAGAAAGAGAAGGGACTAATGAGGGCAAACTGAGCTTGTAAGATGGAGATGGAGCAAGGAGAGCTTTTAGGGAACTGGGGGCAAAATAGAGGTTAAGGAAATCAGAGGTGCTGGGCCCTTAAGGGAATGTATGACCTGAGTGAAGTCAGATTCTGATTCCCCAAGGGACATGGAAGCTTCAGAATGTTTATTTCCTGGGTGGAGAGTAGGGGATGCAAATGATGGAGGAGTGGTGCCTTTCAGGGCCTTAGTCTCAGTGGAGGGAGAAGTTTCAGGGCGTCCCTGAATGGGGGTGTCTTTGGGTGTGGTGTCTTGTCCGGCTGGTATCAACAGGTTCTGAGGCAACAGGCCTGGATGCTCCTGGGTCCAGGCCCCCACCTTAACTTTCCGAACATCACCAGAGGCAGGATGGAGGATGTCCGGGATCCATTCCTAACCCAAATGCTGACTCACTTGAGCCAAGTTTTTTCATCAGTCCCTCAGTTTTCTTGTTTTCTCTATCATTATTCCTCCCTCTCCCCGTGGTGCCGGCTCTTCTCTGTCTTAGTCCTTCCTCACACATTAGCATCCGTTCTCTCTCATTTCTCCCTGGGTCTACTTCCCCATCTCTCTTTGCCCCACTGCCCCTATCTTTCTGTCAGTCTTCTCTCGCACCTTAGTCTCCCCTCCACTCCTGTTGCCTCCCCCTCCCCTTCTCTGTCTCTGTCTTTCTGTTCCATAATATCAAAGTTGAGTCCTTCTGTGGTTTTATCCACCTTTCTCTTATTCTACCTATTTCAGAGCTTCATAAGCCCTGTCACTTCTCAGCAAGCAGGAGATCAAGGTCTCCTAGTAATGTTAGACTTTTGGAGTGTGTGGGGGGGGTGGGAGGGAGGGGTGGTTGGGGAGAAAAGAGAAGATTCAGAGAGCTGAGTAATTGATTGTAACAGGGATGAAGGAAGACACTTTTATGATTCTACTGAGCTTTCCTCTCCTCCCCCAGGAACCCTGGCTAAAAGCATCCGGGCCTTCTCTGATCCCTGTAAGGACCCCACCAGAATCACCTTTCCCAATGATCCCTGTATCACAGGGAGTAGTGGTTCCAGTGGCTCCAGTGGCTCCAGCGGCTTTGGTGGCTCCAGTGGCTCCAGCAGCTCCAGTGGTTCCAGCGGTGTTGGTGGCTCCAGCGGTTCTAGTGGCTCCAGCAGCTCCAGTGGTTCCAGCGGCTCCAGTGGCTCCAGTGGTTCCGGTGGCAGTTCCAGTGGCGTTAGTACTTTCCACAGCTCCAGTAGTGGTTCTAACAGCGCCAGCAGTGGTTCCAGTGGCTCCAGCAGTTCCCAGGAGTCCTCCTACTTTATTTCCTCTCAGTCTGACTCTGTCCCTGTTCTATCATCTAGCTGGTCATCCCAATCTGGATCTGGCTCCTCCAAACCTGGATCTGTCATCTCTCAGTCCTCTTGGATGTCCTCTAATAGCGGTGGTGGCAGCCCTGCTGTGTCTGTCTCTGGTCTAGCACCCTGTGGTCCAGACAATCCTTATTCACACTGCAGTGGGGGCCCTCTCCCATCCTCCAGCTCCAGCTCCAGCTCCCACTCCATATCTGGGGGCCATAAGCCTGTGGTGGTGGTGGTAGAGCAGCATGGTTCTGGTGGCAACCGGGTAATAGCGGGGCCTCCATGCAGCAACGGTGGGGCTCCTGGCAAGCCTTGTCCCCCTATCACCTCCTCTAACTCCTATGGTAGCTATGAAGTGGTAGGTGGGTCCTCTAACAGTTACTTGATCCCAGGTATGACCTATAGTAAGGGTAAAATCTATCCTGTTGGCTACTTCTCTAAGGAGAACCCCCCCAAGGGTTCTCCAAGTGTCCCCAACTTTGCTGCTGGACCCCCTATCTCTGAGGGGAAGTACTTCTCCAATAACCCCTTCATCTCCAGCCGTGGTTCCAGTATCTCTTACCATTCAGGAGGCTCTTCCCCACTTGTTATTTACCAGCCTGTGGGCACGGGCGGTGTCCAGACTGGGAGCTCTGTGCTTCAGCCTTGTGGGTCTGGTTCCCAAATCTCAGTGGGGCCCTGCTCCTCCTCTTCCTCCTCCTCCTCCTCCAGCTCTGTGGTTCACGGTAGCTCCAGTGTGTCCAGCAGTTCCATTTCCTCCCACCCTTGCGGGAGTGGTTCCCAGGGCTCCAAAGGGCCCTGTTCCTCTGTGGGCTCCAGCTCCCTCAGTAGCAAAAATGTGATTCTCCAGCCTTGTGTGAGTGGCTCTACCTCTTCTGGCAAACCCTGTGGGTCCTTGTCCTCTTCTTCCTTTGGATCCAAAGTGAGTGGGAGTCTTGAGGGCTCCCCTCAACTAGATCCTTCAGCAGGGGCTAAGCCCTGTGGTTCTAGCTCTGGCAGCATCCCCTGCCGTTCCATTCGTGACCTTCTGGCCCAAGTGAAGCCACTGGGGCCACAGTTGGCTGATCCTGAGGTTTTCTTGCCCCAAGGAGGGCCCCTTGAGAGTCCTTGAGTGTATGCGCACACACACACACACACACACACACACACACACACACACACACACACCAATTCTCTTCTTCCATCACCTTGGGATGATGGAGAAAGCTCCAGGAATATAAAGATCCCAGCATGAGGCTGGCTCCACTTCCTATCTATAATTCAAGAGAGCTCCTCATCCCAATATGGACAAATCTCTGCATCACCTTGGTGATGCCCATTGCTCCCACAACCCTACCCCTTCATTTGCTGTAGACAATGAATTTCATCCTCTAATACTCTTCCAACCAAAAAAGTTCTGTTGGACAATTAATTAAGCTTCTGCTTAGACAATTAATCATTGTCCAGCCCACCCCAACACACAATATATTCTCTCCAAAGTTGTGGCATCTATCATCTTGGCTATCAGCCAAGCATCCCTTCTGTCAACACCTCTCTTACAACCCCCACTTCCCAACCTCTTTTCGTCAAACCCAATTGGGTCAAGCCCAATCTGTTACTCGTATGTCTCATCCTACTGCTTTGGATTTTCAAGTGGTGGAATTATTTTATCCCCTTAACAATGAACTAAATAGTACTTCAGGCACCTGGCGTAGCTGCTGGAGCCCAAATGCCTCCAACCACATCCATTCCTGTCCCTGGTCCCCCAGTCAACTCCCTACCTAACTACCCTTTCCTCAGACTTCAGAACTGTTCTGGAGGGGAGATGGGGTATCCTTAGAGAATGGAGCCGGTTCCCCACTCTCTCTGGAGCCTAAAGCTGATGGTAGATCAATAAAACATATACCGAATTTCGGCTTTGTGATTTTTGTGGTCCTCTTAATGTTGCTATGGTCCTCCTTTGGGTTCCCTGCCCCATGCCTGCTGAGGTTACCTGTCCTCCACACCTCTCCAAAGAACCCCAAATTCTTCTCATTTCCCCAAAGGTTTGTTAGCCCCTGTAGAGACTTTTGTCCCTCATTTCCCAAATGAGGTAAAACATGTCCTGTTTGTTTTCCTGAGAGTGTCTCCTGTCTCCCTACAAAGACTTTCTGGAGGTTGTTTCTACTTCCCACTTGGTCACCTTGCCTCAATAGACTTCATCCTCACCTGAGGCCAAGGATGAGATTACTTGAATTCCAGGGACAGCTGAGCCCATGGGAAAGATCTGAATACCAATCCATATGGGGATAAAAACAATCACAGGACCACATTCCTGGCCAATGAACAAGAAGCCCATAGTGCTGATGTATCCCAAAAGTTAGGAGAGGAAGACAAGAAAGGAGGAAACACTTTAGGGTGAGGGTAGTTGAATAGGAAGGCTAGATCCCAGGCCTAGATAAGAAAGGTTCCAGCCAGGTGACAGCTAGAGGAGAACTGAAGCAGATTGTATCTTGTCCTGTCTTCACCTGGCCTGGTTTGGCCCATTCTCCTCACCTTCTGAGTTTTAGAGTAATCTTCTCCCCCTCAGAGGGAGACATGTTCTCATGTCTCAAGAGAAGGAAAGATAATTGCTTCCCTGGGAAAGGGATGGGAAAGGAGTGATCACTTTGCAGGAAAAGAAGGCTCTTGGGAAGAAAGAAGGATGGAGGGAGGAGGAGGAATTATTAGTTATTAAGTGATTAAGACTGTCATATTCTGGGGAGAAGGGACTGAGGGTGGAGAGTAGGGGGTATGTGGGAGAGGCTAGTTGACCTAAGGAAGGTAAGGGAGGGACAGCAGGAAGAAGAGTGTGTGTGTGTGTGTGTGTGTGTGTGTGTCTGAAGGAGAGAGAGAAAGAGAGCTTTCTTGTGCACAATAGAAAAGAGGGAAGGGTTAAGGAGAATTGGAGTGTCTTCATATCCAGGGAGGTGGGGACAGGAGAAGGAGTGGGTGAGTCTGGGGGTGGATTGGGGAAAGGTTCTCCTAGCACTGGAGTATCCCTGTGCCACATTGAGAGCTGGGATACCTTCTCAAAGGCTCAGGGCTTGGGATGGGCCAGGATGTGGGAAACACCTTATTCTCCCTGGGGCATCCAAGTGACACTTAAGTACTTACCATGACTTGGATTAGGGATCTGAGAGGAATGTATGATTTATAGCTTCCTAAATCACTGGCTTGGCCTGTTCCTACACCATGCCACCTCCCTTTCTAAAAAGAGGATAAAGTGCTGGCAGTTCTTGGGGTTACAGGAGACAGATACAAGGCGCAGAAGAGATGCAGGATCGTAGGACTTGGAGCTGGGCTTTCCTGGGTCTGTTTATGATCAGTCTTCATCTCCCAGGTATGGAGGTTATTGGACTGAACACCTGGGTCCTTGGAGGGAGCATGGGTTATAGTGAGAGAATCCAGGTCTGTGGGATAGGGGAATGAAGAGGGGAGTGTTTTATTTCTGGGTCTCTGGGGGCAAGTAGGAGTTGGAAGGGAGGGTGGAATGTGGGAAGGAGTTACAAAACATCTGAGTGCCTGAGGGAAGTGAGGGTGAAGATCTGAACTAGGAGGCTAGATGGTCCCTGTAAGGAGCAGGAATTAAGGGGAAAGCTCTGAGGCCAGAAACCTTTGCTGTTTTTTTTTTAACCTACCCTATTTCCCTCTTCTTTCCTACTTCACCCCACTGGGGTCCCCAGCTTTCTCTGCCAGGAGCATCAGCTGGACAGAGGAAACAACCCTGCAGGACTTGGGATTTGACCCCCTGCTTTCTGGATACCCCTCCTTGGCAGAAGAACCCTTGGGACCCTCAATTCCTGACCATCCTTGGCTCAAACCAGATCTTCTATCTGATAGCTCAGAGACTATTGTTCCTTTGGGGCCCAATGATTCTCCATTTGACTATTCTTGGCAGCCTGGGAATTCTGGGCTCCAAGGATCTCTCCTGGATAAGGGTGCATCAGCCCAGGGCCCGCTGCCGTCTGATGATACTTGGCAAGTGATGGCTCACTCATATGACGATTCTCCGCCTGACAGTCCTTCCCATCCTATTGATGCTTTGCCCTCTGTGGCTAGTGGGTCCCAGACAGTAGTTACCCCTCCAGGCTCAGTCAGCGCTTCCCCTGATACCCCATCCCTCCTCAAGGACACTGAGCCTAAGCGGCCTCCCCGTTCTGATCCTCTAGGGCCACGGGCAGAAATCCCTACCCGGCGCTCTCGCTGGTCCCTCAGCAACCGAATTAGTCAGAAGCCTTTGCCTGGTCACCCGTGGGGTACTCAGGACATCAATCCTGAGGTGTCTTGGGGGAGTCAGGGTCTTGGGACTGGTTGGGGAGGAAGGCCCATTAGGTTTCCTATGGGAAGCTGGGGAATTAGCAATCAATACCCAGGTACCAGCTGGGGGAACCCAAATCAGTATCCAGGTACTAGCTGGGGGGGTAATAATAAATATCCAGGTACCAACTGGGGGATTAACACTAGATACCCAGGTACTACTTGGGAAGTTAATAATTGGTATCCAAGTATCAGCTGGGGAGGTAACAATGGATATCCAGGTAACAGGTGGTGGAAGTATAATCAATTTCCAGGGAACATGTGGGGAATTAATAATCGATACCCTGGAGCCCTCCGCCTTCCCAAACCTTCCTGGAATGTCCCTCCCAGATACCAAAATCATCCCTGAGAACCTGGATTCCAGTGGGGTCTGGGAGTGTATACATGGCCCTGGAGAGAAAAGGAGAAATGTGTCCCAGGGTCAGGTGTAAGATAGGTGGATTTACTCTGTTCTCATGCACTTAGATATTGACCCAAATTTAAGCACCTGAATTTCAAATTTTTCCCTAACTCCTCAGTTCTAGCTGGCAACCACCCTCCT